GGGGGGGGTGGGGAAGAAGAAGAAGAATCATACATTTTGCATGCAATTTCACGTCTTGCATAGTTCATGACGACTCCCCCCTTTTTGGCGCTTTCTGCGGTGTGTTTTTGATTTCCGAATTACTGATGATGGCGAATAAAAAGGGATCCCTTCCCCGCGGGCGGTGGGTTCCCATGGCTGGTGTTGTCGGAAGCCCATCAGTCGCCACCTGGTGTTGTTGAGCTGTGCATCGTTTCCTTCCCTGCGAGAATTTTTTTTTTTAATTTTTATGATAGCAAAAGGTTCGATTTTGAGAGCAGGAAAAACGATATTTCTTCGTTAGGAATAACATTGTTTTTTTTGTGAAAATTATTCTTCAATGAGCTATTACATTTTCGCGGAGAGTCACATTTTCAAGTTGACATCGTCCATCTTTTTCGAAAATGATCAAATTGTATATGATCTAACGAAGTTCAGTATTTAGGAGAAACAATCCAAGGCATTTTTGTATTGAAATGTTTGACGCTGGATCAAATTTGGATCTGATTTCTACGAATGGAGAAATTCAAGTTTTGGCATAATTATCATTTCACGATGACAAAGATTGAGAATAACACAATGACGAATTGAAACACGCGTTAAAACAAATTTACGTTATCGTATTCATTTTATAAACTGCCGAAATGCTAATTTTTATCGAACAAAATTTAAAAATCATTTTCAAGATTTCTTTCGCTCAAATAAGTTAATATACTGGTGCGTGCACTTATTTTTTTTTTACGTGATACGCCTTATCAAGTGACAAAAATTCGGACGAATTCAAGATAGCTAATATCATCCCGAAAGTGAATTATTTTTCGAGATTTTTTTTAAATGTACTTTATACCATGAATAAGCGATGACTAAAAGGACTTAAAAGAAAATATTTTTTTAAAATTATCGGAATTATCACTTAAATGAACTCGAAACAGTGATGGGAATGTGCTACCTGCAAGATTATCCACTCATTAAAAATTGCAAAATTTTGAAACTGCTCATTTGTAGCGAGAAAATTCCTCACCGAAAACCAATTTCTTCTTAGCAATCATGCTCCAATTTTTTCGCGGTGGAAAACTTCTTAAAATGTTTGTGATGATCATGTCAATATAGAACTTATCAATTCGAACATGGACTGAAAAGAAGAAAAAGCTAAGTTGATAAGTGAACTTCACTTTTACATTTATTTCCTCCAAAAAGACGATTCAGGGAATATTGCTCGTTTGAAATTCGAGCCACTTCTTCGTGATCCACAATATGCAATTCGTTCGTGATCTCTCTCGAGAATTATATTGCTTGGAATTTGGATACGTTTTTTTTTAATCGAGCTGGGTCAAACCTCCCTACATCAAACTTCATTTAGTTCTTGTCTGAATTCCGTAAAGAACAATTTAATATTGATCTTTCAAAGTGGCTTACTTTGCCGTAAATCATCTATAGTTTCAATTTTTGGGGCCTTTTCGCTATTATTCTATGGACTGAGGAGGAGGAAAAGCATAATAAAATGTAATTTATGCTTTTCAAAAGAAAGTGAATACACCTTTTTCTCACATGTGAGAGTAAGTAAGTGGGTATTATACATTTTTAAAGAAGTTTAGAAGTCGAGGTGTACATTCTACTTAATACTAATTGAAAAATGTTGACCAAGTTCAACAGAGGAAATCATTTTATTGTAAACAATTGGGTATTACAATAGTTGGATTCAGGTTCAATTAATGACTAAATTCAAACCTGAGCGTTCTTATTTTGGAAATATTGCGGTTTCAAATTCCGGATATATAAAAATGGATTGTGTGTCCTTCTGCGGATGCGATTTTATCAAAATTTTCGGCCGAAACCCCCTTTGGTGCGCATGGTATTTGAGTGATTAGGGATAATTGAACAAATTTTGACGAAATAAAAAGTTGAAGCATCCTATCGGCTCATCTAAACAGCAGTTTATGGCCCAGAAGATCAAAGATTTTACACTCCTGTGATTCTTCATTTTTTCCCCACTACAGAAAAAAAAATGCTGGTTTCCTTAATTTGAAAGAAAAGTCCGGAATCGATTTTTTTTTTCTGCGAGTTTGACTCGAAAAGGTTTGACTTTACTTTGGTTCTCCATCTCCATTTTCCTACATTTTGAATTTTCAGTGTGTCAATAATATTAACAACGGTTCTCATTTTTTTGTCTCTGTGTGTTTGTGTGTGTGTGTGGTTATCTAGGTCAAGCACTGAGTAGAATCAATACCCCAGCCAAAGGATCGCCAGGGAAAGACCCCTATGCTGGTGGTGGTCAGGGCTGCGATGTTTGTCCGTGGGACTCGTCCGGGTCGCCTGTCCCCACTGTCGGTAAGTCACTTACTTACGCAACTTATATTCGAGTACAACTTTTGTCATTTTTTGAGCTCAATTTCTTGCGCATCACCAAACTGTGTAAGGGTGTATATCCAATATGGATGCATAATTTATATTCCATAAATGACGTTCTTTCGGGAACGGATTCGCCATGACTGAGTTAATATAGTACATTCACTTCTTTAAACCCTTCGGTTACATAATACGAGGGTAGTCCTGGATGGACGCAACCTATGATATTTAAAAAGTATCTGTGATTGTAGCCCATGAATTTTCTAAGGTTCTGGAATTACTTTTTTCGAATTTTTAAAAATGTTTTTCAAGCTATTGCATGATGAGAAGTGAAAACTTTGCAAAGTACAGCCAGAGTTCTCCACTCGTGTCACAGGGTTCTAAACGTTTGTCAATAAGCCAGTTGAAAAAATTTAAATACTGCATGTTGTTGTTTCATCCGTTATCTTTACTAAATTTCAGATGATAATGGTTAAAAGAAAAATGAAGTTTAATTTTTTAGCAAGCCAGGCAATTTTTTTAGCACCCTGTGACATTGGTGGAAAGCTCTTGAGTGTAATTGGAAAGTATTCACTCACCATAATGCAGTAAATTGAAAAACTTCTTTAAAATTCCGAAAAAAAATTCCAGAACCTTAGAACACCATGGGATATGTCAAGAAGAACGATGTTAATGAGTCAAGTGCATCGTTGGAATCCCTTCGGGTATACGTGCGATGCATTCATTCGTTGGGACTTCTGTCACTGGACTGGAAACCCCAAAGGTTTGCCTTTTTCGTGTGTTTTTTTTTTTGGTGCGAAGATTTTTTATCATTAGTCTGTTTATTTTTTTGATTGCCTGGATATTAATTCGACAGCTATTGATAGTATTTTTATAGATGCTTGCTTTTAATGCTTCGCTTGCTGGTTGAGGAATCATAGAGGGCAGTTTTGCTTTGCATGTGGAGGGAATCATAAGGATTGTCATCACTTATATATGCTACGTGCATTGACATTTTGAAAGTAAAAATTTATTCAGGGATTCATGATCAACCAATAAATAATTTTTGGGATTGGACCACTAGCAGCAATTTTTTTGACAATATCTGTAAAACAGAGGAATAAATTACAGAAATGCAGCTGAAATTATTTATTGCATAAAACCTCGCCAATAAATTTATTCGCGCCTAAAATATAACTAACGCACTAATATAAAGGATGACTCGGGCACGTCATCCTTTGAATTCTACTTGCATCAAAATTTTGAAAGTCAAAATTCATGCGACGATTTATATAATCAACCAAAAGATAATTTTGTTTAGTTTGGAACACCAACAAATTTTTTTGGACAATATCTGAAAAACAGATAAATTAATTACAGAAATTCAGCTGCAATTATTTAGTGCATAAAACCTCGCCAACGAATTTATTCTCGCCTAAAATCTAAATAACGCACTAACATAAAGGATGACTCGTGCACGTAGTCATCCTTTAAATTCTACTTGCATCAAAATTTTGAAAGTAAAAATTCATGCGACAATTTATAATCAACCAAAAGATTTTTTGTTTGGAACACCACCAGATTGTTTGGAGAATGTCTGTAGCACAGAGAAATTAAGCACTGTACAGAAATGTTGCTGAAAAGTGTTAAGTAAGTAAAGCCTCGCTCACAAGAATATTGTCGCCTAAAATCTAACTAACCTAATTGAACCTTCTTAGACTGGTCATTTTATCATGGAAATCCTAAACTCGAGCCAAATATAAGGGACCTGAGTTTGAAACTCAACTAATACGTCAGTATTGTAAGTACGATATACTAATCCTTAACTAAACCAACATAACCACGAACAGCTGGAACTTGACACTATGAATAAATGAATATTCGAGTTCGGATTTTAAACTGACAGAAGCTATATATAGTATCTTATACAGTACCAAAATAACATGAAGTTCATACTTCTCGAGAAATTAGGAACATCTTTGCTGTAATTGAGCAGAAAGTGAAGTGAAATAAGAACTACAGTATATACAGTGCAGTATTTAAAAATGTGACAGACTACATGTGATATTCTTCAAAGTTTCTAAAAAAAAACGATGTTCGAGGATAAGAGAGCTTTCACACCCGAGACCCGACTCATCCTTGCTGGTTCACGAATAATTTTCCCTTTTAACTTTAGTCCTAAATCACGCTAACTTCAATGATGCCGAAAATAAAATTGCCATGAGTATGATAAACACGGTCACGACTTTTTTTCGTACGAAATGGACTCAAAATACGTCGATTTTCGGCACGGAACCCTAATTTCGGATAATGGTCCGCATGCCAAATTATCGTCCTTGGGAAAAAAAAAAGAAGTTGCTGCATAATAAATTTGGCTGTCGGCAGAAAGTTTAAAGTGAATGAAAATTTTCTTTCACATTCTCGGTTTTGTTGCCCTTTGGTTTTCATGTTTATTATATTACCTTTTTCTCTTAACTTATGAGATTTTCTGTCAAACGGACACTATTTTTTTTTTTGAATAATTCATCTGAAGAAAATTTCGAAGGGATCGCAGTTGATGATGCTTATCAACACGACTCATTCGACGAACTATTTTGTGGTCTTTAAAAAAAATTTAGCGCAGCTAATCGACTAGAGTTTTTGGATAACGGACATCCCCACTCTCGGGACGATGGATCAAGTCCGTTAACTGATCCCCCACTTCTCTTTTTCTTTCTGTTTTTTTTTTTTACAAAATACATTCAAAAAAGGTTCTCCTGCACCTCGTTCGCTCGACGACAAACGGAAGGACTACGTGACGAACGCGAGACAGATCAAGTCGTGCGATGTGGGTTCTCGCTTGGCTCCTCCAGCACCCAAAAAGCCACAGA